GACCACTGTCCTGGCTCCAGTTGCTGTACACTCACAACATTAGCCTGCAGAGGCAATCCTGGTTTTCACAGACCTTTTCCCGGGTTAATAAAGGCCCAAAACATAAACCCAGATTTAAAAAGCCACCAAACCCAAAAAGCCCTACTCACAGAAGGAATAAGCAATTCATTGTGTTTGTTGTCAGCTCCTGCTGCCTTTGCACAGCAGAAGTCACAGCATCCCTGTAAGTCTAGGACTGGCCCCTGTGTGCATGGGGCTTCCAGGGGCACTGTGGCTGGTGGGACTACATAGGGGGCAGCCCCAGGAGTGTTTGCTCAGCTTTTCCCTTTCCTCCTCCCCAGCAGCCACAAGCACAGAGTTTGCCCCTCTGCCACTGGTGTGTGGCCAGGGAGTGAGGAGCCTGCTTGGGGCAGGCACTCCTTGGGATTTAATGGGATCCCTGTTCCCAGTGAAATAAATTTTCCACATGGATATTTTTGTTCAAAGACTAAACTTGGAACGTGTGACATTCAGCTAGTCACAAAACCACCTTTCAAAACTTGGGCTGGCTGAGACAACACTGAAATGTTAGAAGGGCACCACCGCCTTAACCACTAATCTGTTAGAAATGGAGCAGGAGAATTTCCTGCTCCTGAATTTCCTTTAGATATTTTAAAGTCAGCCAAACTCATCTTGGCTCCTTGTAAGAAACCTGCCAGGCCTAACCCCTAACACTTCACTGCTGAAATAAGTGAGGAGGAAGCGCAGCTATGGTACTAAGGCAGTCAGCATCCTCAGGCAAGAGGTCCACCAATTCTGGTTTCCACATTTCAGCTTTCATAAGCAGAAAAGAAGATTTCTGGTAAAGAATAAAAATCATCTTCCTCATGGCATATTGTCCACAGCTCTCTGATGTGAAATTCTACACAAATGGAGATCTTTTACTACCTATTTCAATTTTTAAGATGGTGTTGTAGTGAATAGTCATCCTCAGACCTATGCATGTGTCTTTGGGTATGAATTTCACTCAGGAACAGGATGAACACCAATTAACGATTTGGCAAGTAGTTCAAACTGATATGAAGTAATGAAATACCAACAGATCTTTTGTTACGTTTCCTAGGATTTTGCTTTATGAGAGATGTTAATCATCAAATTGTGCAAACATTATATGACGCTGCTATCAGTAGCTTGTGCATTCTATTGGTACAGTAAGAAGATGAAGGACCAAGATGATGCTAGGGAGAAATGAGTGACTTTAACTGACCTGTGAAGTGGTTTACTTGCAATTTTCAAACAGGTCGATGTGACTCCAGCACAGCTCTGTTACGGAGCCCAGAGGCATCCTGCTAAATGGCATATTGAAATCTCTTTCAGAAGATGCAGCTAGATGAGTTTTTCAGACAGCAAAACCAGCTCAGGAAGTTACTGCCCTGCTTGCCCTGAGCCATCCTCCACCTCCTAACCAAGCCCTGGCAGCATCGCTGCCTGCGTGGCACTACTGTAAACTGGATCACTAAAACAATCCAAGTAAAACCAACTTTTTGGATGGCTGATACCAGAAGAAATGTAGGCTGAAGCGGCAGATGATCACCAGCTTCTGAACTTGAAGCAGTGAATGTCCAGAAAAGTCTCCCATAATGATTTGTTTGGGACTACTCTTCATCGGGACTTGCTGGCTGACAAGAACCATGGAGCAAAGTGCAGAGCTGTGGGGAACTCCAGGCTAAGAGAGGACCCATTAATTTCATAATAAAACGTATTCTAGAGACAGGCAATGGAATAGTGACATCTTTATTGATAAACAAGCTGAAGAAACAAGGTGATGATTATCTGAGCAAGTGAAGGGCATATCCAGTGCTCTTGGGAAGTAGGTAGGGATAGAGGAATAGAGGCCCAGACAGCTTAAGGGAAAATTATGGCTGTTGAATAAAGCAAAAGAAGAGCATATTGATTTTCTCCTTTCCTTCTGTTAAGAGAAAAAAAATCCAAAACCAAACAAAACCAAAAGCCAAACCTAAATTCATTTATATGCCTCAGTGAGGACCCTCTGAAAGGCTGGGCATGAGCAGCCTCACGCGCGCAAGGCAAGCACAGTGGGAGAGGCAAGGCTCTCTCCAGGGACCGTGCACAGGCTTATGTGCAGCAAACATGCACGGCCATGAAACCCACAACGGTGGTGTTTTCTGCACAGGTTTCTTACTTCCCCTGTGAAGAAACTGCAGTTGAATTTCTTCCAAAGTAAATCCCCCTCTATACTTTAGAGTATGTATAAACTAAATATCTATGGTTTTGCTCCTTTCTTTTCTTCCTGAAAACTGACTCTAAAGTTTCTCTTATTTTTCACAGAAAACACAGCACTCCCTGTTCCCACGTGCACCAATAATCCATTGTAATTGCTTCTGCCTGCCTGCAAAACACACCTGGCTGCCCTCCTGAAACGGATTTAGCATGAGCAAGCACCAGGCTGTTCTGCTCAAAGTGTTCCCCTGTCTTCAAGGCTGTAAAGATTCATTATGGAGGTCATGAACACTGCCAAAAGAAGACTTTAATTCAGGGGTCCCTGTTGCTACAGCGAAGCGAAGAAGTAACTGAGAAAGCAATTCAGAATGACTGCACCCAATGTCACGTGAGGAGCCCCTCTCAAAATACGAGATGCTCATATGGAGGCAAACTCCCAAACAGCGCTGCTTAGCAGACAAGGGAGGGTGCTGATGAACCAGCTCAGCAGAAATCATCTGCACTTGCACCTGATACCAGAGGCACCCCTCAGCAGCCGGTCCACTTATCAGAAAGAGGAAAAGAGGCTTCCATAGATGACTGGACAGTAATCCGCCATTGAGAGCTGTCTTGTTAATAAATCTGTCCTTTGCAATGAGACTTCGCTCACACAGATGTGTCAGCTCCTTTATTCAGAGGGAGCAGCCTGAAAACAATCATGGTGGCTATGCTTTCTGTGAATGGCAAAGGCTGGGGTGAGGAGGTGGTATGGTGCGGACTGCCTCCTCTGCACAGCCCAGGTAGGTCTCCCAACAAGCCACTTCCGCCTATACACAGCAAACAAAGCTACGAAAGCAGAAGACTGCCCTATTTGCCTGTGTCAAGCAAAGCTGTCAATAACACCTATTTTTTAGGCCCCATCTGTCAGACTGTATTCTTAGAAGTCTCACAGTGATAAAAGTTCCTACAGCCTTTTCTTTTACTTCATGCAAAAAGGGCTTTTAAATCCAAACAGCTCAGGCACCTGGAGGAAGACAGAACTGGTCAGCAAACGTAACCTTCTGCAAATCTTCATTCCTGGTTCATGAGTCAATTATTTTATTTTTTTTCCTCCCTTTCCTAAGCTCTCCAGCACTGGAGCTAAAGGAATACCAGAATTCAGCCATGGCCCTGGCCTTGCGAAGCTGCCATCTCATGCAGGGTCAGGGCTACATGATGTCCTCTACAGCTCACCTCCACAGCCTGTCTCCTGACCATGCACTGAAACACTCTTGCTTTGAGTGAGATGTGAAAGAACCAGAGGAAATCCTCCCACTGACAGAGAAAGGACTGCACAAACCAACCGCTCCACTGGAGCGTGCTGCTTTGCACAACGACTGAGAGGAGGACTCCTGAGCAGTCCTGTTCTCCCTCACAGACAGCAGATCACAGCACACGTCTCCTGGAGTACTCCAGACACACAAGACGACATTCAGGAGGTTCACCACTGCTGCTCACCTACTGCAAAGCTTCCCTTTGAATATCTAACTGTGAAACACAAGAATGAAAACTCAATTAAAGATGAAAGGGACAGATTAAGAACCATAAAGTCAAACGACACCAACTCCTTTCCATCCTTCATCTAGAAAATAAGAAAGTTGGAAGTAAGCTGCAAAGTGAATGAACACCTTGTTTAACCTCACCACTGGGATACTCTACATACTATTCTGAAGTTAATAGAACACTTTCATAATTTATAGCTAACCTTTTATCCTACTCTATTTTGAAATCTACTCCCTTATACTAACAAATAAACAAAGGAGAAAGGACACTTTGTGTGGCACCCAGCCTATGAGTCAGTGAATATGTACGTGTGAGCAGGCAGAAGTATGGGCAGGAGAGTGCAGAATCACAAAAGGATGACAGAAACAATGTTTACAAGTTCAAATGCCCCCAGCTGTGGAAAAGAAGCAATAGAAAAAAACACAAGAATCTGGAAAAAATTAATCTGAAGAGACTAACATTTGAAAAGTGCCAACGTCAGAACCCAAACCTACAGGCATTCTCTTGGTGGAGACCAAGTGAAAACAATACCCACCCCAGTCCTGGGGAGGATAAGCCAACAATTTTAGTGTATTGAAAACATTAAACCCACGACATTTCTGGGACCAGGATCCCACCTTTGCTATTTCATTATTTAATTCCTCCATTTACTGGCTGCTTGGGGGTTATTTTCCTCAAGAAATACCCCAAAAAAAACCCCAAACAGTTGTGCTAGCATAGCAGTACCACAGCAGCACTACAACTCTAATTCAGTACAGATCTGTCCCACATTCCCTGTCCTCAGTGCATGCACTGATCTTGGAAAGACACTTTTTCTCCTCCCCTGCATTAACATTGCTCCACTGACTGCCCTGTCCCTATGTAACACATCTTGGCTACATGTGGCATCAGCTGCAGAGAAGAATCCATCTGTTGTGACTTCAAAGACAACGAGTCGGAGCTCTGTGATTCCTAAAACCCACAAATATTCCACCTTGGTTTGCCTGATTTGTCATTAACATTTCTCATGCCTAAATTAGGAAGGACGCAAAGCATCAGATGTGTGCTGACAGTGCTGCAGCTGAACAGCTTTTATAGCTTAGCATCGTTTCCTTCCACACCTCCAAATGTTTCTTGGTTGTTCCTGTTGCATACCAACACATAGCAAGCCATCAAAAACCAAATTAATATTATTAGTGTGCACTAATTGTTAAGGGTTTGGTGCAAACTCCAATAAAAGTAAGGAACCAATTATTTTACCACATCTACAGGGCACTGACCTGTTTGCCCATTTTCCCTGTTCTCAAAGATCCTTCAGCCTGGTACCCAACTCTGTGATGAAGCCTGTTTAGCACCAGTGAAGTTCCCCACATTCAGACTGACAACGTTCTGAGCTGAGATGAGGGAATCAAAGTTAAAATCCAGCCCATCTGCATCCATGAGTTCACTGCGGATAATGGACTCCATGTCACACTCCAGGCTCCCATTGAAAATATCCAGGTCCAAGTCACTTGGGAATTTCTCGTGTCCCATTACTGGGAGGTTCATGCTAGAGGAGTACAAAGAGGAGCCTGAGAGCGGGTCAGAAAGTGTTTGCATAGACTGATTGACAGGTGACTGCTGTTGTTTGGTGGATCCCAAGCTGTTCGAATCACTCAAGCCTATGTTACTGATGGAACTGGACAAGGCACGGCTGCCACTAAGAGAGGAGTTGTGGGACTGGTGCTGGTGATGGGGGAGGCTCTGATTGACCAGACCGCCCTGGCTGGACTGCGCGGCAAACGACATCATGGGGTCGTTGCGGAGCATTATATTCCTGCGGGAATTCTGGGCGGACACAGCTGTGCTGGCTTGTGACATGAGTGGGTCAGACTGTGTCATCATGACATCGCTGTGACTAAGTGCATCAGAGGTGAGGAGATCCTGCAGCGTCTGGTTGTTGTAATGAGAAATGGAAGAGAAGGTGGCCTGCTTGTTCTCCTGAATGGTCTGCATGGGCGACTGGCGGAGGGAATTCAGGGAAGACGGCCCGAACACGGAGTTGTTGAAACTACTTGACGGGGAACCCAGCCCTGAACCTTTGGAACCATAAGGAAAACTGGAGCTTCTCTGCATCATCCCTCCTGTGGGTGACTGCTGGGAGGGAGGGAGTGTTATATTGTCTAAGAGATCATCCATGAGGTTATCTGTCAGTCCATCATTCAGATTCATTGTCCCAGCCATATCAGTCAACCTAGGCAACTCCACAGTACATGGTTTGTTTACTGATGGGGACAAGCTCGATGGACTACTGTACAGCATGGGAGAAAGCGGAGCATCATCATCTTGGACATCATCTAGTTCAGTGCTTGCCAAAATTGGTGACAAGCGGCCACTGATCGTACTGGCATTGGAATTTGTACGGGAGCGAAAATCTGTCCACGCATCCAGCTCGTCACTGCTGCGGGAGGTGGGGCTCCCCGGCCACTTGGAGAGCTGAGAAGGGCTGTCCTCACTCGTCTCCTGGGCAGTCTGCAGGGCTGCCTTTTTCTTAGCTGCTCGCCCTCTGCTCTTTGTGTACTTGTTGCTGTTGTCCATTGACACAGCGCGTCTCCGGGGTGCCTTGCCGCCCTTCCCACCATCTGGATTGATCATCCACCAAGAGCTTTTCCCGGTGCCTTCATTCTGCACCCTGACGAATCGGCTGTGGAGTGACAAGTTGTGCCGGATAGAATTCTGCAGGAAAGGAACAAAACAAAATGTCAAGACCAGCATTCCACTTCTTTAACTACCCAAATCTCAATCATTAGACCAACATTACATAAAAACAGCAACATGAATAAAAGCATTGGGCCCTCCTGGATATCACCATAGGTTTCTTGGGTAGTGAATATGGAAAGGCTGGAGTGTGACTGCAGCATGCAAGCATGCTGCTGTAAATAAGCCCCGTGCTTGCACTAGCTGTGCATTCCTGATGCCCATGTCTACACTCCCAAAAGCTGCATCCTAAGGAAAGGAGCGTGACACAGCTCCACTCCTCTCAGCAAGGAGTTAGATGTTTCTCCCTCACTTTTGACTCAGGACAGACCTCTATACCATCAGCAATCTTGTGATAAGTTCCTTGAAACAAAAACTGCAAAGGCACTGCAAAAGTCTGACTGGAGGGGTAGTCACACTCATCACAGCCTTTGCAAATGTCTTTTTAATTCTTCATGGGCATGTGCTGTGTATTTGTTACAATAATTCTTGAGGAAACTGCCAGTGCTGTTGCTCCTCTCCCACAGGCACTCTGTGCATGACTAAGCTGTACTTTCTCTCTTGATTAGAGGCACCAGAATTACGCCTGTACTGCAGTAGCTGGCCAGCTGTCCCCTTGCTATGTTATCCTCGCAGTCTTCAAAACAAGATGTGACACAGGACACAACGATATCCCTGTCCCTGTAAGCTGCTAGATACAGAGTTGTGTAAAGCTGATGTACGCAATCGGATACCCCCCACTGTACAAGATGCTACAAAATACAATGCTTCTGAAGCGGCCCATGCGCTGCCTGCTCTTGCCTATTACCTGCTTGCACTAGTCAGCAACATCTACCATCCAAAACCTGCCTTGGCTCACAACGATGACAATCACCTCAGAATGAGAACAGAGGCTGAGAAAATCAGCCCATGGTACCCTAGTGAAAAGACTCCAGATTTAAACCAAAATAACTGACATGAAAATCCCACTCCACTCATCCTGCTGATCTTGGGCTTAAAATATGGCTCAAAGAAAGGACAAGCAAGTAGTATTTGTTAGTGAGAATGCTTCCAGGTTTGGGGCTTTTTTTTTCCCTTCCATGTGCAAGTCCGAAGATTTTTGGAGCTACCCCCATATTCCTTTGACAAAACAGATATGCTATTCCTCCAGGTTAAAGACATTCAAGTTTAAAAAGTCACACGGGTTCTTGTTGCTTAAATTTTGGCAATTACCAGGTACGTATATGAAAAGAAGAAAAATCACATTTGTTCTACCAGCATGTTTTAAAAACACAAAGTCCACAGGACCATAGCATAACCAAACCATCCAGAGTAAGTGTCCTTCATTTACAAAGCATTGAAAAAATTCCAGAGTTAAATGGGCAAAGAATGAATCGATCAACAAATTATTCACAAGCATCTTGACATTTGCATCCTTAGGATAAATGGATGTTTGACATAAGCAAACTGGAGACACGCTTGATGTATGAAGTAATACAGCCCAGCATTTTTAAACAATTCTTTTCAGTATAAAATGACTTTTTTTCTCCTTCTTAAGTGTTGTGGTTTTTGTCAGATTGTGAAATGGAAAACATGCCTGAAGTTCTTCTCGCATGCAGACAGCAGACGCGGTTGTGATTATCACTTAATGAAAAGAGAAATCATATGGACCATGGTTCAAAATAGCAACTGTTATGTTTTAAACAATTTGCACAAAACAGCAGACCAGACTTTGCAGGCATACTCAAGAGAAGTTTGAGTCAGTGCCTCAGCTATAAACTTGTCCTTTTCTAAGGGACTTTCATGCCATCAAAATACAGTGGATTTAGTTGCAGCATAACAGTTCTTTAGTCTAAGAAAGGAAAGAGATTTTTATTATTTAACTCATGACATTTTAACTGCATTTTGAGTCTGGCAACAGTCTGTTTCTAACTTCTAATAAGCAGGCGCCACGAGTTACTTCCTCACGTTTCTCTCAACTGGCTGGAGAACTGCTATTTTTTGAATAAATAACCTTTGCTGATATTCTAGCTTGTACTGCCTCAGTGCAGGTAGCTCTCACGTTCATCCCCCAGGACTTTCATGGACAACCACTTGTGAGAACATCTGCATGGGGATCTCTCCTCATAAAGAGCCAGCAACAGAATAAGGACAACCAGAGCTAGACCACCACACATGGCTACAGGAGCCATGCAAACCATGCTGTTCCCCCCCTATAAATGTTGGGTATAAGAATACACAGCACTGTGACTCTTTCTCATGAAAAAATCTTAGAAAACACAGAAAAGAAACACCCAAGGTGGCATACACAGTGTGCCACATGGCTTCAGATATAAAAACACTCAGCCAAAGTGCCACAGCAGCTAACAGTTCTCGACCTCTAGTATTCTCATCATAAAATGGCTTATTTGTGCTGGTGGTAGCTGTAGCATGAAGAAGTCCTAAATGGTAAAATTGTGAGACTAAGGCACCTTTCAGGATGAGGTGTCCTCCATGTGTGGATACGTGTGGGCACAAGTGTAATTTTCTTCTTATTATATTTTTTGCTCAGTGTTAGTATTGCACAAATAATAAAAGAATGTAATAATACTTTTGCATTGGAAATTGGTGGTTATAAAAAATCCAAGCAGTTTGTTTTCCTTTACATTAAGCAATATGCCACTTATACTCCAGCTTCTGTTTTTCTTTACTTTTCTTCTGTAGGAAGTTTGTTTTCTTAAGTATAATTATGGGCCAATTTATTTTTGTGTACCCTATCTCCACCCTCTGTTCAAACACTGCCTTAAAACCCACTTCTTTCACGTAACGTCCTCCGCTAACCTCTCCAGCAACAGTATCTGAGTTTCTTGGTTTCTCCTTGTGCTGGATGCTCTGACAAATCAAATTAGGGCTGGATCCTATTATCCTTTCCCATGCAAGTTTTGCTACAGAAGTCACTAAGATTGACAACTCACATTAGTAAAGGCTGTCGTGCTGTGCTACCAGGCTGCAATGTGGATGAATTATATTTTCTACCTGGTTTCTGAGCTGTCAAAGAACGTTTCCATCTGCTTAAATTATAGGAAAATATCATGGGACAATCTTTGCTCACAACCATGTGCGTTAGTAATATATGACCATGCACAAACTGCAAAGGAGGTAGGGAAGCAAAAAAAATACATCTTATGAAAATACAGTTAATCATTTGAACCTGCTACTGATCAAATTAATGAGGATTTGTCTTTGACTTACGTGGAGGAGAGATTAGGCCATGATGATGAAAACATAACATATTTTTCCATGCCAAAATGCAATGAGAAACTTCAAAAGATCTATAAAGGAACTTCAATCATCTGCCCCGGAGACTGTATGTAGATGGGACAGATGCTAGCCAGGCTGCAGACACCTTGGAAAGAGCTCAGATACCACCGATGGGTACAACATATGGACTGTACAAGAGCAGAGTAGAAAAGAAATATGATGAGCTCCTCCCTTTATTAGTGTTACTATTTATACTGGACTTGAAGAATGCTGTGTGCTCTGCTAAGAGCCAGAAGCCCAAGGTTCCTGCAGATAAGATCAAGAGCATCCCATATGGCATTGAGCCCAGCCAGGTCCCAGTCCCCTGGGGAAGTGGTCCCACAGGGAAGAATGACCGGCCCTAGAGATGCGGAAGACCCAAGGCTGAGGAATACATGAGGCAGGGCAGGTGCTGTGTGAGCAGAGCGTGGCTTAGTGCCACAGGCAAGCAGTGCTGCTACCCTTGGCATCAGAAGAAGGAGAGCAGTGGAGTGGGTGCCCGCTAGTAGCCAGGACAGCAACATGAGGGGTAGCAGCAGCTTCCCCAAACTCAGGGCCACGCTCCCAGCTTTCACAAATGTTGGCCCACTGCACCACATTCTGTTCAGTTAATGCTCCTTGAGGGAACCCACCATACTTTGCTCACAAAAAAAAAAAAAAAAAAAAGAAAGAAAGAAAGAAACTACCATGTCCTAATTACACGTGTGTCCCTTGATATTCCAATAACACTGCAAATGGGTAAAGTCCCAGAGAGGACACTCAAACACTGCCAAAGGTTTTGGTACGAACATCTGAATGAGTCTCCTGGGGAGGCCAGGACTGCACGTTATTTCAATGCTCAGGCCTGGTCAGGCAACAGCAGCAAATGCTTGAGCCTTTAAAATGGAGAAAATTCCCCCTCCTTGTGCCTGTTTCCACCTCTTCCAAGCCATGTTTACCTTGTGGAGCCTGTCCATTAACTCAGACACCAGCTGCAAGTGCTTCCACTGCAGTACAGAGTCTTTTTTGTCTGGAAGCAACATGTGGTATCAATTTATCATCCTCAACAACGCAACAAGGAATCCACTCACTTTAAAAATAAAAAGAGTTGTGTAACTTAACTCTTAAAAGCCCCCGCTTTAAAAAAAAAAGAAAGCCTAAAGATTAGCAAGATGAGGTGCAGCTGGTGGCTGCTGAGTCCAAGTTACACACTGGTCTGTTTTTACTTCAGTGTTTTCTGGTGAATGGCTAATTCGTTATTTCAGATACAGGCTCCTATACGGTAAAGTTAAGGCTATAAATCAAAAGCAGTTGTTTATTTTAACAAGTGGGATACTAGGACATGATGTGAGAAAAACAAATGCTATCTGCAGACCCATAAATGCTGCTAATGCACACTTGGGAGAATTATACTTTATTTTATACTGTATTAACATATTTAATGTTCTAATTTCACCATATGAAGTTGTCTGTTGGCCACACAGTAGGGAAAAGACACAATATCAAACCCCACTAAAAAAAAGCCATGAAAATAACTCCAGCTCATCAACCTCCACTGACTGCAGGGAGCCCTTCTTCCCCGTGGCTCTGCTTGCTCACTTGAATTTCAGTTTCCAGCCTGTGTTACCTTGCTCTGAACGTTGTAGCACAAACCTCCTCTGTGGTGAACACCCCTACAGAGGACCTCCACCAAAAATTATTTCTTTAAGAAAAGCAAAATGAAACATGAAAATAACTCCAGC